GAAGTTCACCAAATGAAAAAAAAAACAAATACCTAGTTCAAAAAACATAAAAAATGCATAAAAAGGGGCATAAACTGCCAATGAAACTGATACGCTATCGGAGAACTTGAAATAGAGGTTCCAGAAACAAGAGGTAAAAACGTAGTACTCAAAGTTGCTTACGCCTCGAAAGGAGACAGCGCAGTGGCTGCAACAGTTGCCGAAACAGTAGTGCCCGAGGCCGCAGGCAGGTAAAACCCATAGCCGCCATGTTGCTGGTGTTGCTGATGGCTGTTTTGGTGATGATGCTTTTGATGGTCAGTCAGGAATGCCGACGCCTGTTTCATTCGATGTACACCAGAACCGTTGGAATTGCCAGCAGAGGCGACCGCTGCAGCGGCAGCTGCAGCAGTGGGTGAAATGGAAGTATGAGGCGAGCGGAGCTTTGTGTGGGTGGCTAGGTGTGACTTGAGATTAGTTGATTGGGCAAACCGCTTAGAGCAGCCGGGCTGAGGACATGGATAGGGTCTGTCTCCTGTGTGGATTCGGAGGTGGGTGCGCAGGTTGAAATCCAGGGAAAAGCGCTTTCCACAACCCTGTATAATAAGAGAATAAAATCCCCCAGATGATTTATTGTCGATAAGTCGTCTTGCCTTACTATTGCCTTGGACGTGAGAAAATAATTACTAAGACCTTTAAGCGGCTATATTTAATTGACGAGTGAGTTGTTTTTATATTTACATTCGCCAAGACGCTCAAGAAGTTACCAATTCCAAATGCAGAACACCGCAGACACACAGGCGGTCAAGAGGGAAAGATAATAGTCCTGACCTCCGAGGACAGACTAGCAAGTTTAAGAGGTCACACAACTGCTGGATTTGCTTGTTTTTAGTACATTCTAATTCTTCCGAAAACTGGTTTATAGATGAGCGTTAATATTTGAGAATCTTTAAAACAAATGCTCCACTCTAAACCCTGAGTAAATGGCATATGTTTAGTCAAAAGCAAAACATTATTAAAAGTGTCAACTCGATGATGGAACCCAAAGTAGCTTACACCCTTTTTCAGAAAAAAACTACAAATATCCAGACATGCTTCCACCGTTGAACAGCTGTTGAATTGGGGAAGAAGAAAACCCTTTCTATTCATCATTTGTCTAAAGAAAAACAAATTCCCTAATTCCAAGTGACGAGACGAAATCCATCGCATTAGGACAAAATTCACTTCAAGAATCAAAGTCCGACGGAACTGGAAGACATTTGGGGTTGGAAGAGTAGTGAAAACCTCCCAATAAAGAAAACAATTTATGTTTCGTAGCGCGTGCTTTGGTAAAAAACATGCGTCCGTTGGCATCGAAATGCATGTATTCAACGTGGGGATAAAGTCCTCATTCATAAAGTCAGTAGTGAATGGACTGACAGTCCAAATTGCTCGTATTTGCATTGCAGGAGCCTGGAACTGGCTTAATAAATAAAAAATAGAGGTCAAAGAGGTGACCAGAGCTCTGATCTGACATTGGCCTGGCAAGTCGCGACACAAAATTGCAAACAACGGAGGAGACGATAATCATTTCTATAAAGCGCCAAAAAAAACCATCAGCAAGAGTACAGAACCGTCAGCAACAGGGCATTTACTAACCCAGACCCAATTGCTGGGTTTGGAGCATTCCATGTTCAAAAAAAAAAACATTCCCGTTTTTCGAAGGTGCGAAGAACTGGTAGGTTGAAAAAAAAAAAACGCAAGCCTCGCCGTTCGCCACTAGCTAGCATAAAACAGAGCACACAAAATCA